GTAAAGAAAAGCCATGCAATCAAGAACAACAAGAAGACCTGTACTGCCAAATACCAAGACTCTGTAATACTACTTCAAATTAGGGCAAGGGTTATTTGTCCACAAACCCATAGACTATAATAGAAACTCCTAAAAGAGAAACACGCCTATAGGAACACTGTGTGCATAATAGAGTTGACACTTCAGAACTGTGGGAGAAATAAGGTTTTTCAGCACTCAGTTGTCTGAATTCACTTTGTTTTGCTATAAAAGAATACCAGAGATTGGGCAGTTTATAAAGAAACTATCTTTTATAGGTCTAGAGAGTGGGAGATCCAATATTAAGGTGCTAGGATCTGGCAAGGGCCTTTAGCTGTATCATTTCATGGTGAAATGTGGAAGGGCAAGAGAGCACACCCATGTGGGAGAGAAAAGCAAGAAATGGCTTACCTGGCTTTTACAATAAATCTGCTCTCACGATACTGAGTGCATTCCCACAACACCACCAATCCCTGCATGTGACAGAACTCTCATGACCTAATCCCCTCTGAAAGGGCCTACTTCCCAACACTGCTGCATGTATTTCTAATATGTGAACTTTGGGGAACACATTCAAATCATAGCAATGGAACTGTATCAATCTGATAGTCACGAGAAAATAAATGATGTGTCTTCATCACCTTGGGGTAAGGAAAGGATTCCTAAACCAGACACCGAAGTTCTAACCTCATAAAATAATACTGATTACTAGAGTATATAAGAATTAAGAAATTCTGTTCTTTAAGTGACCAGAGAATAAAATGCAATCCACAGAGAACAGCTATATGTGCAATATAGATATAAATGTAGATAAAGATATATGTGTTTGTATATTCACAGATATATGGATATAACCAGTAAAGAGCTTATATTCAGGGTGCATGAACACTCAAACACTCAAAAGCAATCAAAATATAGCCAATTAGTATGTGAAAAATATTCTCAATTTCATCAATAATCAGGATACAAATTAAAGCCACAAGATATGACTATACATACACCAAAACAGTTAAAATAAAAAACCATGACAATATTAACTATGGATATGGGTGTAGACCAAAAGTAACTCTCTTGTGCTACTACTGGTAGGTACATTGGTTTAGGGGCACAACCACTTTAAAAAAGTATGGCCTTCCCAGAGAATGGATCTTACATTGTGACCCAGCAATTTCACTCCTACTTCTAGACCCAAAGTGATTCCCATGTGCACTAAATAACATGTGAATGAATGCTGTGGCACTGCTAGAAACAACCAAAATATGTGTCAATAATAAAAGTATAAATAAGGGGTGGATAAGGGGGTGGTAGTTCCTTACAACTGAGTGCAGTGCAGAAACAACCGTGAAGACACTCCAACTACCTACGACACAGGCACCTGCCACAAACAGGAGGTCGAACAGAGTGGGCTCAAAACAAGATTGCCTGCTGGGTAATTCCATGGATGTAATTTCAAAGGAGGCAAACTAAATTACACTGCTGGATGTCAGGGCAGGAGCAATAGCTGGGAGTGGCCCCATGAAAGCTTCTGGAATAGGGACAGTGTTTTCCTTCTTTGGACCTGGTCAGGGGCTACTCAGGAGTTCATGTTGAGGTTCCTCACCCACTCTACATGTTTTATGTGCTTTACTTCTTTAGTTATACTTGCCAAAGTAATTTTTAACTAAATAGATCAGAGATCTTTAAAACAGCTTGCAGACCTTGGAGATCCTGGAGAAAAGAGGGGGCATATAAAGTGCAGTAGGATTTACTGCCCCTGCAGCCCTTCCCTCTTCCTACTTTGGACATTGTTTATAGACAAGGGAATATTTAGTTTGCCCCCAACCTGAGGAGCTGAGCACATCAACTGAGTGCAATGCACTGAGAAGGAAACTGCCCGAGAAGGGAGCTTAAAGTTTAAAAAGGGGAGTTACAAAAATAAATAAATAAATAAATAAAATCAGATTTGAAGAAAAGTTCTAACTGAATAATGGGTTATCTAAGGGGGAAAAGGGAAGAATGTTCTTTGGTGAGAAAGTCCAAAATATGAATTCTGAGGACTTTCCCTAGGGAGGACATGAAGGAAGAAGGAGGCTGAGGAGAAGAGTTAAGAAGGAAAAAATCAGGGAGGTAAAGGATGGTGAGATGGAGTTACGAGGAGGAAGAAGAAGCGAGTGGAGGAAAGAAGGAAAAACTGACCAGAGGAAAGAAAAAACAAAAGAAACATGGTCAGATGATCCATCTTGTGCATCTGGTAGGAGTCGGGCATCTCACCCACACTGCAACATTCAAGCTGCACATCAACCCTCTCAGGGAGCTGTCATCTATCTTATTTTACAAATGAGGATGCTCTGAGGGTTTCTTTTGTTCAAGGGAGCATGCCTAGAAACACCTAGCCGCATGCAACTCCAAACCCTGGGCCTAGGAAACCACTGGCCTCCAACAGGGAGGATTCCTTCAGTAGGAAGTAAATACTGATGTTACACTTGGGTCCTGAAAAGGATTAGCCCCATTTCCTCAGAAGCAGGAAATGGATGATCTTCTGAAACCCTAAATCTCTACTTCTATAATTCTGACATTGGGCCATTTATGTGGAATACTCAATGATATAACTGACATTGTGTAGTTCTGCCTTAGTATTAAGGGGCAGTTTAGATCAATCTGGTGTCTCTTTCCTGGGGAAAACAACAGAGTATTAGAAGTTCTGTTTAAGTTGGCAAATTACTCCCTAACTTATGAGAGAAATGGGCACAAGATGTAATATGGACCAATTTTAGTACTCGCCAACTGGCAGGAATATCAAAGATAGGCTGGTACAGAAAATTCCAAGGAAAAACTCAAAGCCATGACGTTACCTGGATTTCTTTGGGCTAACCAGAGAGCAGTAGCAAATTATAAAAATTCAAGAGAGAATGCATCCCCAACCAGAAGAAAATCATCTCATTTAAACAAAATTATATGTGAGGAATAATGTTTTGCATATACCACAACTTTGGAGGTTATGTCAGAGTACTTACAAAAAGTATTACTACTATTTTCCCTGAAGTTCCAAGTTATTTAGCACTTGAGTCAAAAGACAGGGTGAGGGATAGAAGGAGAGATGTGTACAGGGAGAACCCACACATACTGAGAATAGGGTACGGAGTGTGTCAGGTACTGCAGAGGTGCTTGATACAACACAGCTCTGGATATCCATTATAGTCTCCCCAATAAAAGGCATAAAAATTAAAGCAAGCTACCTCCTAGGAATAATTAGAAGTGAAAATCGATACGGAGAAAATGGTTCATATTCTCCTCATTGATTTCCTGTGCAGAATGTCAAACTTAACTGTTGGTTGGAAGTCAGTTTGGCTAAATCTTATTTCTTTTTCAGTAGTGGGGTTCTCCTGGGGGCCTTTCATGCGGGAGTCTTTCTTTACTCTAATCTCAGCTGTGAGCTACTGAATGCGGTTGACACCCTGACTCCAGAAACCAGGGAATTAATACTCCACACATTGCAGTCAGTGCCTTTATTACAGCTGACTGAACTAACAGATAGGGTGCACTGCCACCGACTTGTATAGTAAAAGCAAATGGCTGTGTTGATTCAAGAGGGAACTTCCTGGATCAGAAACACCCAAAGAGCCCAAGAATCAGTCTTTATACAATTCAGTCCGTATTAAAGACCTATATTTTTATCATTGAAAAATGGTAGACACAATCTATCATTTAAGAGGTAAATCTGTACACCCACACACCTGACTCAAACTCCTCCCCTACAACTCAAACTGTCCTTTCCAAATTATCTGTTGGAGTCCCGGTGTTGAGTGCCAAGTGAGATTAGCTTTCGATTGTGAATTAGCTTGTTGAGATATATAAAATTGCTTGAAGAGAAAAAAGAGGAGAGAATTAGTGACAAGAATCTCCCTGGGGCCAAAGAAGAACTAGAGTTTCTCAGTGCTTCTGTATCTAAATATCAAAGAATAACAAGGTTAAAATGGTCACCTAGTCCACCAAGTTCCATGCCACTGCAGAGCACCCCTACACCAAGAGCCCGTTCAGATTCTAGCTGACATTCCTAGCAAAAAGCATGCCTGTTCAAAACTGAATCAGCACCATAAGTCATCCTGGCATGGTCCCAATGGAGATGGAGATGCATTCCGACTTCCAACCTGTATTTAGTAATCAATGCGTGTCCTCTTCAAACCCCAAGAATTCACAACGTGACTGCAGCCGTGCATTTCACATAATAATTTCTCTCCTCCCCACTGGCTACAAGGATATTAGCAATGTCCTTCAAAAGGTCAAGTGACTTCTGACCATTCCTAATTGATCTTCAAGCTATTTCCTCGTCAAACACCCAGTGGAATCCTCTTCTGCAGCGGCAACACGCAGAGCCTCCAGCACTACCCCTGGCGTTTTGTGCTAACTCAGAACCTGGGGGTGTGGCAAAAAAAGGAGGGTCCTAACCGACGAGAGAAACCCTGGTGGTGGCAGCTCACTTGAGCAGTGTGGGGCAACAGCCGGGGGTGGGGACCTATAAATTAACACACGCGCGACCTTCGCGTCGCGGGCTTCAATATTAAACCAAGGACGCGTCGCGGGCGCTGTCGCCGAGCATCTAACGCAGCCCAAAGCCCAGCTCATCGGCCCGGGCACGCGCCGCACGTGGCGACGGCCGCGGTCTCCCGGCGAGGAAGTCCCGGGCGGAGGACAGGCGAGCACGCGGGCGGCCAACTCGTCCCTGCGAGCGGCCAACTCGTCCCTGTGAGGACGCGCGGCACTTACGTTAACGCGCGCCTTAGGGGAGCGGGAGCGCACGCACGCCTGCGGGAGCCCAGCCGCAGCCCGCCACCCGACTGCGCGGGCGAAACGCAGGTGAGCGCCCGCCGCCCGCCTACGGCGGCCCGGAGGCCTCGCGCCCGCAGTCGGGGCGGAAGAGCCTCCGGCTGCTGCCCGGCCGCGCACGCGCAGGCGCGGCTCTGGGCTTCCGGGAGATTGCTTCCGCCTTCGTCGCCTGGCAACGGCTGGAAGCGTTGTTGACATCCGCGGAGGCGGCGGTGGCTGACTGAGCGCGGAGTCTCCGCCGCTGCAATGGTAAATCCCGCGTCCCCGCCGCCCCCACGGCGCCCCGGCAGGGACTTCGCGGCCCGGCTCCCGGGGCGCGGCCACGCTGGGGCTCCGGAGGCTTCGTGCCGGGGCACAGGAAGACCGCCGAGGGGGAGGTGTGGAGATGAGGGGACGCTGCCTTGGGGGTTAAAGTCTGGAGGTGGCGCGTAGACAGGAGAGAGAGGCTGAGGAGGTGGAAAAGGCCGAGGGGGATGAGAAAAGCGGGAGCCAGTAAAGTTCGCAAGGGCGGAGGCGAGATGCAGAGGAGAAATGAGATGCTGCGAGGAAAGGGAGGGTAGGATGGGGAGAGAAGCGCACAGAGAGGAGGGGGAGACTGGGAGGGAGAGATAGCTCCTCCCCTCCCCAGCCGAGAAAGAGAGAACAGGAATGTAGGGAGGGGAAAGAAAATGGACTTAAAAGAGGAGTGAAAAGGGGGTGGCAGTGGGGACCAAGAAGTTGTACAGCAGGACTCGGAAAGCAGAAGAGAAACACTGGGAGGAGAGGAAAGGCCGGGAAGAGCAGAGAGTTTGAGAGTGAATGAAGTAAAGGAGAAGAGGGAAACAGGAGACTGGTTGTCAGTAGTGTGGACATTGTCTTAAAGGTCAGACATGTAATAAGTTATTGAGCCTTATACAGTTATTAGGCTTTAGTGCAGTTTCCCAAAGTGAAATGCAAACATCCATTGCAACTTAAGATGGTCCAGAAATACCAGATAACAGAGTGAGTCATACTGTGAGACACACATGTGTGTGTCTTTAGAATGTACACAGGACCAACTTTCTGGCACTATCAGGTCCTTAAGACTACTATCATTGGTAATTTCCATTTTTCATCTGAAGAGCAGACCACTAGCTCAGAACTTCCATTGCAATGGAACATAATAATATGCCCTTTTCCATTTGTTGTACAGTTATTCTTTTATGACAAATGATAACCAGGTTTCCATTCATGGTAGTGATGAATAGTTTCCTCTTAAAATGCATTTACTTCAGTTTTTGGCAATGAGATAAAGAACAGGATTGGTAAGTAATAGATAGCATTCATAACGTCAAAAATCATGAATTTAATGCGATAATGCCTGAAATGTAGAAAACACCTGGAATGTGGTGGAAAAGGGAACATATCAAGACCCACTAAAGTGGAAAAGGAAACCACCTTTTGATCTAAAGTAACAAAATGTTCACCTGTATGGTCTTGGCGGGAAAAAGAGTATAATAAATCTTCATCAAGAAACTGTGAAGAATGCTGTTTGATTCCAGAATATCCAGTGATTGCTCAGAAAAATGGTAGATACAATCTACCATGTGCAGGTTTGGAAAAGATTATTCTTGAATTTTGTATTTCTAGAGAGGAAGAAAACATATAATAGGATTGGCACATAAAATATATTCAAACAGGGCTGAGGCTGTAGCTCAGTGGCAGAGGCACTGGGTTTGATCCTTAGCACCATATACAAATAAAATAAAGGAACTCTGTCCATCTACAACTTCAAGAAAATTAAATATATTTTTCAAATAGAAGAGTTTAATATTCATTCATGAGGTTGGGATGTAATTGTGCATTACATTGAACATTACAAGTTAAACATTCAGCTTGTATCAAGACTCAAGATCTAATTATCAAGAAAATCCTGAAACATGTTGTTTTCAAAGAACACCCTTCTGTAAATGTGATCATTTGAATGAACCCCCCAATAGATTTCCCATTAAAGGCTTTTTTTTAAACAGAGGGAGGACATGATGTAGTTCTATAAATATTTAAAGGACTATAGAATAGAAAAGCAATTTTTGTGACTACAGAAAGATCGGCAAGTGAAATATGATCCAGGGAAGATTTCTTTGCAATATAAAATATTCTTCGGTATCATATGGGGACAAATAAAATGAGTTCTTGTGAGGCAGTAAGCTCTGTGTCTCTGGAGGGGTTCAAGCCCATGAACTTTTCAGGGCTGTAGGCAGGAAGAGGGGATCTTATACAGGCTTGTGTGGGGGACTTTACAATTTTCAAGCCGACTTTTAAAAATCTGAAATGACAGCATCTAGTACAGAGATGGTGGAAAGGGTATCCTTGCACACATCATTCTCCTTAGGACTGGTGTCAGTCAACCCAAAGACCCTTTTGATTAATTGCCTCCCTAATCTCTTCCAGGCAGAGGTGGAAGAAACTCTAAAGAGGATCCAGAGCCATAAAGGGGTTATTGGAACAATGGTTGTAAATGCAGAAGGTAAATATGTCACAGGCTGCCTTCTTGACACAAAGGAGCCCAAGCAGGAACCTCTTTTTCTTTGCAAAATTTATGGCAAACATCTTTGAATTAGATATTAAAAGCATATTTTGTATATTTTAGCTAAAGCAGTTACTTACCAAGCATCTATTGAGTATATATTAGATGCCAAGCACTCTGCTAAGAGCTAGGGCTATAAATATGAACACGACATCTAAAAATACCTATATATTCCTAAGAAACACTGTAGATTGTCTGCTTTTTAAAGCTTTAGTAATTTTCTTTCATCAGTTCTGAGTGCCAGTAAACCTATTGTTGAGGTCAGGGAGAATATCACAACCAGCAGGTTGCTTTTGTTTTAACATTATGAAGAGTTCATAGTTTCCGTCTTTATTTTGAATGAAATTATTTCTTTACCAAATTTTGTTAAAAAAAAACTTTGAGAATTCATTTTAATATCATTTATCGAGTAGTCTTTGTGGATATAGTATAAGAAGAGCCAGTGCATTTCCAACTAGGAAATCTGGAGACTGGACAGGAACTTGCTCTCACTGCATTATCCTCATTAAGACTCCGCACAGCGTTTCCCCTGCCACACTGTTCCACGCCCAGCTGGCACCTCTTCCCCTTACAAATGCCTGAATTAGCAATGAAACCATCAGGAGCCTGTAAGGCATTTGTAAGGGGAAGAGGTGCCAGAAATTCCAGAGCATGAGTTGAAATAAGAGTAGCTACTTAACATAATTCATGGTGCAACCATACAATTGGCATATAACCAGGTCAGGGCCTGGTAGAATCCATCAATAAATATTCATTGTGCAACCACCAACTGAAAGTCTGCTTAAACTCCTTACCGTTAAGAATGGAAAATAACCTACTTTCATGGTGGTTGTGACAATTAAATGAGATAATAATTGCCAAGTCCCCAGAACAATAGCCAATACTTAACAGAATTGTAATAAAGTAATTCTGAGAGTGTGCGAATTTAATTTTTACAAAAATATTGTTCTACAAAATAAAAAATTACACAGTGCTAAATACATGTAATAAATATGACTACAATAAATTCACTCAGCCTGAGAACCAGAGGGGGGAGAGGATTTAGGATCATTTCTACAGAGAAGTCAAGAAGTGTGTTATATATTTCTAGCAAGTGGTTCAGCCCTATTTCCTAGACCTGGCTAAACTGCTTATTTCCAAGTATTTGCAACTGCTGTGTCACACCCCCTGAATGTGCTATCTGCATGATTTCATAGAGGTGCTGCTGTATCACACGCCGATGGCTTCAAACAACCGAAATTTATTATCTCTTAGTCTGGAGGTGAGAAGCTGAAACCAAAATATCATGGGGTTGTGCTGTCTTTGAAAAATCCAGAGGAGGAGCCTTTCTTGCCAATGCTCAGTGTTCCCCGGGCTGACAGACATCACTGAAGTCTGCCTCCCTTTCACATGGCCTTCTCCTCTGTCTCTGCTTACACTCAGGGAGCCCAATTATATTGAATTAGGGCCCACCAAAATCCCAAGTGGCTTCATTTTAACTCATTACATCTGCAAAGACCCTATTTCTAAATAAGGTCCTCTTCTGAAATTTAGGTTGGACTTGAACCCAGTGCATTCTTCTGTGGCACCCAGGCCAGTTCATCATTCTTCTGTGGCACCCAAAGCAGTTCATCTGCTTTGTTGGCAGATCTTAACCTTAAAGCACATAATCCTGATGATATGCATCAGATGTCTGAAAAATATCCACACCCTGGATCTGTAATCCCTCTCCTAGGAAATACCCTAAGGAGTGGTGAAGAAAGGTTTATTATAAGGGTACTCACTGAGGCATCATATGCAACACGCACAAACAGACAAATAAGAAAACAAAGTTGTCTCAGATCAGGGGAAATTTTTAAGTAACTATGTATTAGCTGCTTAATGAACTTGACTCTATTAAAAATGTTCAAGGATATTTGAGGATTTGGGGGAGCCACTCAAAGTATTAGATGAAAAAGTCAGGTAACGATGCAGTTGCCAACTCTTTCTAATCATTTATGTAGCCAGTGCACACATGCATTTAAATAAGGAAGAAACGGTAGGCATATGTTATATATAGGGGTTATCTCTGAGTAGTGGAACTTAAAAAGCAAATTTCACTTTATTTTTCTGAGGTATCTCAATCAAAACTCCTCTCATAAAAAGGAAGTAAAATAACATTTTAAATAGCCATTAACTTTTAATTAACCTCTACTAGGACGCATAAGGATTCAGGGCACTTTTCAAGATTGCTGGATACTCAGTTTTCACCTGAGAGTCAAATTAACCTTTATCCAAAATATAAACTAGGGGCTTATTTTTATGGTCAGATCATTAGTAACCACAGTATATGATGAAGATATTTATTAATAGCATACCGTGTAAGTAGTGTGACCAGAATGTAATAAAATACTCAATTTCAATAGCCTATTCAATTTTAGATAAAAGTGCCATCTATTCGAATGCAGATCTGCAGCTTTCAGAAATCATGTGAAATTCATATTGAAAATACTTAACCAAGACGGTGTTTGTGTCTTGTTCTCTACTAGTGGTTTTGGTCTACTAATTACAGACAAAGCATTTGAACACATTTTCAGATTGCATTTGTGGTTAGAGGTCCTATGTCTATCCATTTCATTCTCATCATGTAGCTTGCTAAATATTAGTCCTTTGTTTCACTGTTATTGAAACATAGACTCTTCATGACAGTAGACTTATCAGTTTGTTAATGCTGAATGGTATAGGTTTTGATTAGACTAATTGTTAGCATTGGTTTCCCATTTATAAAAGCATCCATTGTTTATAATATGGAAACCCTGATCATTGCAATAGATAGTGGTGAGTATAAATATCTCCCAGGCAGTCATACCTATCATACATTCTTATGTATATAAACATGATTGCTGTGGGCTCTTAATTTTAAATATTCTTGACATTTCTAACAATGAATCATTTGAATTTCATTAGATTTTATCAGCCACTCAGCCAATTCCTTTTATTTTGAAATACAGTCTATCAACTAAAGTACAAATGTATGGTTGAAAATGACAAACTAATAAAATAATGAGTACAAGCTTACTGGGATCATATAGAGTCATATTTCAAAGTAGTGCCATAAATTCAGCAGTATCAAATTTTAAAATGTTCATGTTCTTTGTTCTAGAAGCTCCATTTTAGGAATTTATCCTACACATACAAATAACTGTGAGATGACATACATTGCAGTTTTTTTTTTTCTGAGAGTCAAAGATTGGGGCAGCCCACTGCCTGTCGGGAGGGTGTGTTGTCTAAGTGAACTGCAGAACATTCATTGAACTGACTGTCACTAATATGATCACTTAGCTTTACTTGTGCTGAATCAAACAATGATACCATTTTATACAGATCATGAACACAGACACATGCATTCTTGAGCTGGCCTAGAACTCCTGTAGAGAGATGCCCAGGACACAGCAGTTACTTCTCAGAGAGGAAGTGGGTGAATTTTATCACGTGCTAAAATTACTTTTTACTAAATTATTTTAATTACCTTGCATGGTACCAAGCAGGAGCTCAAATAAATATTTCTCAATTGTTTTCAAGTATCTGTTGTGTATATGAAAAACTCCCAGGTGTTTCCATAGTGGGCACTTATTATTCAGAAAGGCTAGCTATTTTATTTATTGACTTGGGGCATGAACAGACTAACTAAGTAGGCCTGAGATTTTGATTCATAATCTTGTCATCTACATTTTAAATAATTTATTCTGGTTGTATTTCTTGTTTTGACACTGAGCAATGCAGACTTCATAGGCAGTGAGTATTTAGGATGCAAAATAAAACTATTTTTCAGAAAGTTCTCAAAGGTTGAGGGCTGGCTATGTTCTGTTTCCAGCTTGTTAAAGATCCATGCTTTGTGACCTTCCCTCAAGTGTAAAAGACAATCACCAACCACCTTTCAGGGGAAGAGTGGCCAACAAATAACAATTCAGAAATTAATAGTTTTATGTAACACCTAACAGGAGAATAGGAGTCCCTGTAAATACTGTCCTTATAAAGCTTAGTGCAACCTTTCTGGAGATAGTGATTGTCTTTAAAAGAGGTTGGTCCGTTTCAAAGTCAAAGTGCATGGCTTCCAGCAGTTTCATGAAAACTTGATAAAATCCTAAGTTTGTAATATTCTTCCACTCTTTAAAGTGCTCATCTTGTTTAGTAGTTTCGAGCTACATTTTCTGAAGGAAAACTAAGAGCCATGTTCAACTCTTTTGTTTATTGGCCTTAATTCAGCTACCTAAGGAATTTGACCACAATCCCAAATTCTCTTCCTGTGTTCTCTAAAATAAAGACACACTTGCAAATCAAATCTTGGAAATTCCTGTTTATCTGGCAGTTTAAAATACTTTGAAGGTTATCTTTGATTACATACAATATTTGTAAAACACCTATTACAGTATTGTTGCATAATGGGCCTTGAACCCTGGGTGGCCCCGACTGAGCTAGATTGATATGCACTGAACTGAATTATATGTACATATTTTCTAGCTAGAATTCTTTGGTAAATTAATAGATTGTGTTTTAAACCATAATAGAACAACAAAGCTAACAAGTAGCCAAATTTATTAGTATTTAAATAAAGAATAAGTGCAAAACCAGGGAGCACACCACAAAAGTACAGTATCTTTGTCCCCATATTTTTCTAACATAAAATGTAAGGTGTTATGTTAGAATACTGTGTGAGGAATTAGTAAGAAATTGTGAGAATCCCTTTTGATCTTATACACAGTGATATCCCTTTCCGTTTCTGATTTCGGGGAAGAAGACTAACACCATGTCACAGACCAAGTTTTTCAAAGCAGACTTGCTGTAGATGGGATGCTTGGGGGCATGCATTTTATATAAAAACATGTTAAATTAGCACTGAAATAAATAATCAACAGCTTCCAAATGATTCATACACAAAAAATATTCATCACATCATTAGCTATAAAAAATATAACAAGTGACCAAACAAAAGGGGATTGTTTATATTACAATATATGCATAAAATAGTAAAACATGCAGAGATTGAAAATAATAGTGATGATGTTGTCAACAAAGACAGCTTGTATGCTATAACTTAAATGAAGAAAAACGCAAGTCTAGTTTGTAAATATGGTTTGACTTAACTATGCTTAAAAAATCTTTGCAGAAACAAAAAAAGGCTGAAAGGAAATAAACTGAAATGGATACCGGTGAGCAATGTCAGCCGTCATTTTTTCTTTCTTCTTGCAATTATCAACGTTTCCCAATATTTTTCCAATGTCCATTTTACTTTTATAATCAGAAAAAAAGTAACCCAAAATTAAATCTCATAATAGGCATTCCAATCCGAACCACCTTGGACAACTCGACAACAGTTCAATATGCAGGTCTTCTCCATCAGCTGACGGTGAAAGCCAAGAGCACCGTCCGTGATATCGATCCTCAGAATGACCTCACTTTTCTCAGGATCAGATCAAAGAAACATGAAATCATGGTAGCTCCAGGTAATTTGGCATTTCATTTCATATGTAAAGATTCTTTATTCTTGACTGGTTAAAAGCCTTGTTTCAAAGAATAGGGAGTACAGGTTTTAACATACAGTATGAAACATAATATTCTTTCATTACAAAATGGAGATGTTTGAATCTTGAGGTTTCAACTTGAAAAACATATGAAATTAGCAATTTATTTGACCTTTGAGCAATTTGAATTTTGCCCACTTGGATTTATTAGTAGTAATCAAAAGAATTTAGCTTCAATTCCCCTTTTTGGTGAACTTAGCACTCAGACTTTCTGGAGAGTGGCAGAAAGTCCTCCATCCTGGAGACAGAGTAGGGGGTGGATCCAAGTCCCATGGGGCCAGAACCCTCTTTGTGGGTAAAGCACTGTTACATGGTCTACCAGAAGACAGCAGCCACAGCACCCTTCTTTCCTTGAAGGAACTGAGTTCACAGTGTGAATAAATAGCTGGAAGTCAGGCTCCTACATAGAGTCTAGAACACACTTCTGCATGGTACGTCGATCAAATCAGAATTGCCCATAAACTAAATAAAGCTTTTTCTACAGCTGTGTTCTCTCCCTGGCTGCACATTTATATCACTTGCAGAGCTTTTTAAAAAATTATCCATGGCTGGGACACCACCCCAGATCAATGAAATCAAAATCTCTGGAGCCAGCCTGAGAAAAAGGGTATTTTTAAAGTATCCTGGTGATTCTGATGTGCAGCCATTGGTCTACACAGGTCCACACGACGTATGGAAGAGAAAACCCAGTCTAGCTGAAATGTTGATGAAGGATAATTTTAGGGTGAACTAATTTTGTCCATGTCTCTCCATAGATAAGGAATATCTTCTGATTGTCATTCAGAATCCATGCGAGTAGACCTTCCACCACCAAGTCTATCCTCACGACACTGAGTTGGAAACACTTCGCGACACTGAGTTGGAAACACTTCACTCTTTAGTGATTCCTAAAATTATATTCCAGTCTGACTGGGTCTTTGGACATTCTTTTCTATTTTTACATCTAAACTATTCTACATGTCTTTTTAGTCCCTTTTGATTGCATTGTGAACCTGTACTTTTGCTATATAATAAATTCTGGTATGTATGTCTCTATTTTTTTATAATACAGGTTGAATAAAGATAGAAGTCAGAAGCACAGTTCTCAACTGTGCAGCACCTCTGCTCAGCACCTCTGCTCAGCACCTCTTTCATCCCTTACAAAATTCCTGGGGTTCCTGCTTTTACCACACCAGCCTGAGGAGACCAGGAATGGGCCTTGGACAAAGCTGCATACATACACAAAACAGAGTAGGTGACTCCAGAGGGCTTTGCTTACACTGGGTGTGTTAGTCACCTTTTCACCCCTGTGACCAAAATACTTGACAGGAAAAATTTACAGGAGGAAAATTTTATTTGGGGCATACAGTTTCAGAGTTTCGTTCCAGAATTGGCCCAGCCCATTGCTCTGAGCTTCAGGTGAGGCAGAACATCATGGCCAAGGAAATCTGGTCAGCTGCTGAAAGCCAGAAAGCAGAGAGAGGGAGGAGCAAGGGACAAAATACATAACCCCCAGCGTACACCCCTGGGGCCCACTTCCTGCAGCCTTGCCTACCTGCCTAGAGTTACCAACTGGTAATCCTTCAGATCACCACCCCAGTGGATCACCACACTGATTAGGTTATGGCTCTCATAATCTAATCATTCACCTCCTTGTTAAGGCAGGAGTTTTTTTTGGGGGGGCACCTCATATCCAAACAAAAATACCAATTATTTCAAACATTAAGAAAACAGCAAATACAACAGATTGTCATTTACCCCAAAACTAGAGTAGATGTTAATATTTTATCATATTTCCTTTATTGCATTGTGAACCTGTACTTTTATTTTAAAAGTAAATTTTGTATTTTGAGATCACTAAAGATTCCTGTGTGCTGGGTGTGGTAGCATGCACCTGTAATCCCAGCTGCTTGGGAGGCTGAGGCAGGAGGATTGAGGACTGAGTTCAAAGCCAGCCTCAGCAAAAGTGAGATGCTAAGCAACTCAGTGAGATCATGTTTCTAAATAAAGCACAAAATAGGGCTGGGGATGTGGCTCAGTGGTTGAGTGGCCTTGAGTTCAATCTCTGGTACCAAAAAAAGAAAAAAAGATCCATGTGTAATGACAGAGATCCTATGTACCATTTTCCCATGGCAACATCTTGCAGAACTCTAATTCAGTGTTGTAACTGGGAAGAGGACACTGATTTGGTCAAAATAGAACACATTTCCATCCCTGCCAGGATTCCTCAGTTGCCCTTTTGTAGACCGAGCCCCTAACCTCTGGCCCCTGGCAATCACAAATCTGCCCCCATTTCTATCATGTGTTGTGATTCAGTAATCTCTTGGGACTGACTTTTCTCACTCAGCATAATTCTCTTGAAATTTGCTCATAATATAAATGAAACATTACAGATTCAACCTGCTTCTCTCCTTATGCCTCTGTCCTCCTTCCCTAGAGGACTCTAGTCAGGAGTCCCAATTTTGCCATGCAGGGGCTCCCAGGTGCTTTTCACCCACATTTTCCTGCTGCTCTTCACAGCAAGCTGTGCAGGGAATGGTGCATGGTAAGTTCTGCCACACCCACGGCCCCAACTTGCAGCCCGTGAGGTGTCGTGGCCAACGACCGTGTAAGTAGAAAGGAAGGGCTGAGGCAGAGCCCGAGGTAAAGGGATGATGGGAAAAGAGACAGGTCACAGATGGAAATCACCCAAGGTTTAGAGAGAAAATAGAGGCTCAAGCCAAACAGCCCGCCTGTCCAGCAGATGTCTGAGCCCCGCCGTGTAACTGGGTGCTTCTGGGAATTCTCAGCAGGTAAACTCAACAGCGGTCAGGAACAGAGCTAGGAGTCACTAGTCCTAGATTCCTCACATCCTGGCTCTGCCACTGTTGTGGTTTAGATTTAGGTGGCCCCCAGAATCTCCTGTGGGAGACGACACAAGCATGTTCCCAGGGGAAGTGATTGGACTGTGAGAGCCGTGACCTGATCAGTGGACTGAGGCACTGATGGGAATTGGCTGGGTGGTGACTGTAGATGGCCAGGGTGTGGCTGGAGGAAACAGGTCCTGGTGGTGGTCTTGGGGTTCCTGTTTTGTCCTGGTGGCCTAGCTGGCTGCTTCCTTGTTGCCATTCTGAGCTGCTCTCCTTGGCCATGCCTCCCGCCATGATGTTCTGCTTGGGTTTGGGTCCAGAGCTGTGGAGTCAGCCGACCACAGGCTAAACCTCTCCAACTGGGAGCCAAAATAAACTTTTCCTCCACTAAACTATTCTTGTTGGGTATACTGGTCACAGAGAAGAAAAGCTGACCCAAATAGCCATCCACGAGCAGTGTGAGCCTCAGCTTCACCTGTAAAAATGGTAGGCTAAGAGAACCCAACCAGGGTTAGGTTCACGGGAACCAGCTGAGCTGGTAGGGAGGAGGGAGAACTCAGCCAGACCTCTACTGGGGTGGTGAGTGAGCTCCAGTGACAGCTCTGGGGTTCTCACATCACCAGGTCAGCATGATCATAGGCAGGATGCTGACTTCAGAGAAAAGGCAACTAGTGGGAAATGCCCCCAGTTACAGCAGGAGCACAGCACCCCCTAACTGCAGGTGATTGCACCCAGAGAGGCTGCGGGGCCGAGAGCTGAGGCTACAGCACACCTCTGACTTTGAGCCATCTCCCCACCCTATAGAGAAAGACTTCAAATGTGCAGAAGATTAGAAAGAATAACGCAACGAACACGCATGTACACATACATTCACCAGCTGTTAATATTTTATGACATTTGCTTCATCTAACTACATATTTTATATGTGTAAATATATATTTTATAACCACATACACACTATAAAAGTTGCAGATACCATAGTACTTTAAACACTTCAGCAGGTATTTCCCCAAAATAGATCCTCTTTCATAACCACACTACTTCAATATACTTAAGAAATTTGATATAATATAATCTAATATGCAGTCATATTCAAATTTCCTTAGTGGTTCCAAACATGTCTTTTATAAATTTTTTTAAAATCCAGGAACCTATCAAGGGTCACACTTTACATCTGGTTTTCATGTCTCTTTAAGATTTTTAGCTGCTCTTAGAAGCCCTTATTGTCTACTTCTCTATCTCTAGACACTATCATATTTGTATTTGCTCTCCCTAGAGTCCCCAGTGCCACCTGCCCCGCAGGCCCCTTGAGCCCCTGCTGCTTGGACCCAGGCACAGCTTGTACCCACAGCAGTTGGCCCGAACTCATCACAGATGGGGGCTTCCACACCATTCGGCCTCTTCCTTCAGCCCAGCAAAGTCTGGGTACCTTAACCCAGTGCTCATTCTTCCCGGACAACTTCAGCACCTTGACAGTCCCAACATAAACAAGAGCTTGTCAGAATCCCCAAAGCAAGGAAATGCTCGAATAAGGGGAAGTCCCTTCTATTCAGGGCTGCCAATTTTCAGAGCTGGAGAGAACCGTAGAAATCATCTATCCAACCCCCTCGTTTTACAGGTGAGGATTTCGCCTGTTATCTTAGGTAAACTTAAGGTGTGTGCGTTTGTATTGGTCTAGTCACGCCTATGGAATTGGCACTAAGGGCCTTATTAGAGGGCTCTGGGAGACCCCTCCCCAACCTCCAAAACTTGTTTTAAGGGGGTATAGAATTATTCATTGTTTTAAAGTGTACCAAAGGTTAATATTGGATTCAAATACCCAAATCTGTCATCGCCCCCTAGATCCCCAGCCCACCCAGAGCTCATTAACAGATGCATGGCTGAGTGGGAAAGCCACTTCCTTCCTCCTGGCCCAGCCAGGAATTTCAAGCCCCATTTGAGATGGAGCAGTGTGAAATCTCTGGCAGGTGCAGATGGCACTGCTCTGAGTGCCAGGGCTCCACGTGGGCTCTTCTGGGAAGAAAGACCCCCTACATCATCAGGCAGGGACCTCACAGGAGTCCTGCATGCACCTTTGCACCAGAGGAAACTGTGACCCTTTGTCAGGGCTGAGGCTGTGGCAGCAAAAGGCAGGATTGCCCGAGCCAGCTACGGCAGAGGAAGATGTGGTCTCGGGGAATGTGCACCACTCCCCTCCACCTCCTGTTACCAGACTTTTCCTTTCCTTCTTGGACTCACAACAGCATAACTAATTGTCTATATTTTAAGAGGCCTGGACCTATAGACTAAGGAGCTACACTCATCCTAAACGGTTGGTAGAGCTTTGGTTTCCTGTGAGAAGTGCAAGCCTGGGCCCAGGCGGTGGCCCTTCTTAGCCCAGCCAGCTATAAATTTTACCTGAACAATAGGAGAGCTATTTGCAGAGTCTCTGGAGGAGCATATCCCAACCATAAATATTAATGATAATGAGCCTGGAAAGGCCAGCTTAATAAAATAGCTGAAAATGCATTTACACATCATTAGCATTATGAGCGCCCGTCTTCCTCTCTCAACAGCGGGCCCCTCCCCTTAGAAGCAGGGACCCACCTAGAGCCCTAGGACAAGACCACCTATCCTCCTCCAAAAATGAAATCACCATAGACCGAGCTTGGGTTTTTGTTTGTTTTTTTTTTCTACCTTCTTGGCTTTTGAAAAATCACAATTCTCAACATGTATTGGCATGGAGCAAAATATGCTTCCTCTTCTGACATTAGAAAATTGCAGATGTCCCTGAAATGAAAACTTCAGCATGTGTAGGTGAATGGGTCACATCAATTCAACCGACATTTGATCATATATTCCGTTTTTTAAGCAAGAAAAAGTGGACTGTGTTTGGAGCCATAACACATTGGGTGGTAAAATCTCCAACAAGGGTATTTACAAAAAATAGATCAGTCTCTCAACTCCTGAGAACCACGTGGCTACAGCACTCCCTTAAGACAGAGTCACCTCTAACAATGGAAACCCAGACTTTCCTAGGGCAGATGGGAAGATATGAGGTTAGTGACATCCGGCTGGCTGGCTGGCATAATTCATATGCAAAATTGGACCCAGAGTTGGCCACGCAGACACCATTCCTTGAACCCAGAGAAGAGAGGCCTGAGCCTTTGTTCTTTATCCTGGCTTCTCACCCCAGGAAACAACCAGTCCTTAGTCCCCTTAGGCACA